GTCCAGGGGAGGCCAAGGGCTTTTCTTCCTAAGACCACCTCTCTTCGAAGGATTATTGTATCCTTCGACACAGAATTTATCGTTCCTTCACTATAAACAACTAATCAGACGATGTCAATAGGGAAAATACTTCGGACGCTGCGGAGTTTTTCAAAACGAGATGTTCCTTCTACGAGCAATAACCGAGCCAGAAACATTGCGGCCCCTTTATGTTCACAGAAGATGGCCCGCTACGTTTGTTGCAGTATTGTGGGTTTCGAGAACATACGGGAAGCCCTCCAAGGGTGACACTCTGAAAGTAGTCTTCGCGGTCAATATTGGTGTAGTGTAAACCTCCCTTTAAATCAGGAACACACGAAAGGCCGAAGCGTTTCGTTGCTTTTCTAATAGATTGCTGTCGCAACAGTTGAAAGTAAACTTCGTACGTTACCTTCTGGATTTGATTGCCCTAGTTCCATCGATACTCTGGAATGTGGTTGACCAAGCGCACACTAGTCAATTTTGCGACCCTCATTTTGTGGAACACTGACGACTGAGGGCTTAGAAATTCGAATCCCAAGTACTCGCTGTGGTGACCGAATGATGTTTGTGGATCTACACAAACCAAGCGCCTCCGTTGATTTTCAGAGTGTTATAAAGAATCGTTGGTGCTTGGTAGGACGCTATTGATAACTCGTGTTTCCGGTATCACACGAAAGGCGTTAAACAACCATTTCTTTTTTTCTAATGAACCAAGTCCACGTCCTCCAGTAACAGGTATTTGGAGGTAATAAGAACCAGGGAGTGCTTTCTCTGGTGCATTGATATAATACTATTTCAGAACGTCTGACATTACAGGTCACTTATACTGTTTCAAAAACAATGGCATCAATGAATCATCTGCGAAGTAAGGATAAGGTGACTTCTCTAACTCTACAATGAACTTTCTTAATAAAATGCTTGTCTATTGGATACTAACAGTGTGTATAGTAACCTGCAGTACAGTCATTTGTGCTTGCTGTTCGTAAACCCGTTTCACTCTAAAGCTTCGTGATATCATCCAGACACCCTAACTTGAACATAGAAGAGGGTACTGAGAATGCGATAATGCAAACGTGATCAGAAAAAACGAGTCTTTCGAAACTGTTTTCTGTGATCAGTCTCTCGACTGAACGATCTCCATGCGAGTGCCATAGGACACAATTATCCCTCGTTTTAAAGGTTTCTGTACTGAAACGCTGTGAAATAGATGCATTTTTGTTCCCCTCTCACAAGCAGACTGGGCTTTCCCCGTAATTTATAGTTTTACATGTCCACTTAATAAACACTACCCTCCACTTACGATGAAAAGGCTTTTGGCTATCCCAAAAGCATTTTTTTGGATAAAGGGTGGTATGTAGTTTTTCGCCTCACACACTCAGGGAGCCTTTCAGACTTTTTCGCTTGCAATGACGGTTTGTGTCATAAGCCGATGACTGGTCCGTTGAGCCAAATGCTTCCACCTATTGCGTAAGTGCAGTCGAGAGGGCCGATCTTATCCATCACAAGTGAGCATCAGATGCATTTTACTGTATTGTATGCACCCTCAGCGGAAAAGTACTTTCGGCCTTGACAACGCTCAATCTTGCAGTTAATCCATGTATGCAACGATTGGACACGAACATCTGGCTCCAGCTTCTTGAGAGTGTGGTAGGTACCGTCTTTTTAGTTTGTGCGAATGATCTCGATGTTGAGCGACTCAAGGTAAGCCTTTATCATCACTGTCGGTGAACGGACTATAGGTTGTCGAAGTCACCTGACGTGAAAAGTTGCCCAAATTTAGCTCAGAAGGCCGGAAAACATGATTAAGATGGTGTTTACTGCAAGGTGGCTGTTGAAGAGTCAGTTTGATCAGAAACCGAAACCTGTTTCTGTCAGAACGCATATGGACTACGTTCTCACAAGAATCCTACTGGTTGGAAATAGTTTACCTGCCGGAACATTCTGGGGAAGATTCTGTGACTGCTATCACACAGAACAAGGCATTTGGTAGTCATATACCTGACCATGTGCGTGCGCGTGCGCCTTGGATGCGTCGTGTAAGCTGGGCCCACCATCTTATACATACACCATCAGTTTCATATGTCTGTCTATCACTGTCTAATTTGACAAATATGGATCATCACTTGGGCCTAGTGATGGTCCTAGAATATCTCCCTTCTTTCCACTCTTCGGTGTTATTTCCTCAGATTCTCACCGGGTAAGTGTGGCTCATGGCATTCTACCCGAAGGTCCTTCGGCGATGTTCAGTATAAATCAGGAAGCGGATGGCAGTCCACTATGTGTTGCAAACATCCAGCATTTGTGATTCACAACTCATGACTACCTAGACCAGTTTGTTCCATTCAGTGATCGATCATTGCAGATTTCTGTTAATTAACTGACCCATTATTTCCGCCACCCGTTTGACAATAGGGTTTTGTCAGATTCTGATCGACCTGATGAGTTCCAATTAGTGCGGAAATTTTTGCGAAACGAAATTCTCTGGAACTGCTCACATTCCTATTATAAAACGTGTGCTTATTTATTCTCTTATATCGCTCGAATCGTTGGACAAGACACAAATCATTTATTCCTTGAAAGTAGAGCAAACAGGTTAACTTGGTAAACGTGCAATGAATAATCAAGAGAACTATTTGACTCTTCTTGGCCGATCTATTTTTGACTGCTTGGAGGCTTATTCGTTGAAAATCTTCCTGGGTCGTGATGCTTGTCAGGACCGATTGAACTAATGTACGGTGAATTAGCTGTGCTTCAGAAGAAGGCGTAGTCTGATTGGTCAAAATGTGGGTGAGTCAGCATTGAGCCTTTTTAGCTTGATGAATCTTGCCTCATCGTGAAGATTCTAGCGCGACCTTGTGGATACTCACGTGATTGTCCCATAAATGTATTTGTGCTAATGTCACATTGTTCCCAAAAAGATGCTACTTCAAGCTATCATGCCATGAAACCATAAAGCGCTGTGAAACCGCAATAAAAACCAAGGAGCTGGCAGCCATAATACAGGGGAGGTGATTGTGGATCAGCACTCAACACCCGACTACATTTTATCACTGTACTGTTTGTTTGTAATTCCTCTCTCAAATCTAATGTTCCCTAGCGAAAGCGGCTGCCCGTTCTTGACAGAAACTCACTACAAGCATCTTTGTTGTGCATGACAATGGAAATTCGAAGTCACGCTGTTACCTAGGTTTGTTGCGATGCGTTTGAGACTCGTGTGCCTGGGGATTTGTACTCAGAGGCTGGGTTGTTTTCTTACCAACTGGGCTAATGCACGCGGTTTAATACTCACTTGCGTATTGAAATGGTGTCAACGGGAGACTCAACTGGATACCGGGCGAATCTCTCGTTGTTTCGTATCGAGGCATGGTGCATATTGGCAATAAAAATACTGTTCTCTGAATCTGTGTCATGCTGTCAATATTTTACATTTCATCCATTACTCCCCCCTGTATTGGTCAAACTAGAGCACGAGAGCAATTTTTTTTTTCAAAGATACATTACTTGGTTTTATCCAGCACACGAATACGAAGAAACAACGGACTTTTCCATCGATATTTCGATAATCACAGCTGCGTACTGAAAGTGATTCCACATCTGAATGATCTGATTCGATTTGTAACTATATTGGGCTAAACCTCTGGTTAATTTGTGCTTATGTACATCAACTGTTTCTGTTCTGGTTCGGATGGGTCCGGATCATTTCGCTTCTTTCTGCCGACGATATGCTAGTGGTGGAAGGACCAACCAATGAGAGTGTTGGCTCGAACACCGATGCTTCACACCAAAATAACAAAATAGGAAGTGATGAAACCACCTCCGTGAATCAAAGGGAAAACGGTTGCAACCAAAATACTAGCTTCCATCTTCGTTATACTTTGCACACAATATTTTGAAATACTTAGCTGTTTAGAGTCAGTATTTCGGGCACGCGTCGGCCATACGATGATAGGGAACAGGTGCGCCCGGAGTCTGACTCGACTTGCAAGAATGCCTACCTGTATCTAAGGTTTACTGGCATTTGGAACTTCATCCAATTCAATGAACTGGTTGCTCAATAATGTTCTTCAATTGTCGATTCTGATATGATCACTAACTATCACGAGGAGCCAAGGAAACTGCTGTTGGAATGGGAAGGCATTGCTTGATATTTTCCTCCAGGATAAACTCAAAAGTCCTCATTCCGTAGCATTATTCTTGGCGAAGAATTCATGGCTGTTGTTACATGAACCAGGTTTCAAACGATTAAAAGTCTTGTGATTCATAAAGCAACTTGTTCAGGACTGCTGTGTGCAACTTGAAACGTGACTATTATCCTATTTTTGTCACATGTTTCGTGGCTCTTTTTCCGGGCGATGAAGAGGTTCTACGATGATGATTCTAATGGAAAACTTACTAGGCCTGGTTGATGTAGACCCTCATGCTGGTTATTTTCCTCACATCCCTCAAAGTTCATCCAGGCTTTTGGATTTAGTGTGCAGAGGGTTGTTTGAAGTTCCATAGCTGGAGTTTGTTATGGCGCTGTTACGCTCTGCTACTTTACTGACCTGCACACACATTTAGATCGCTGGTGGATTGATGGCCTGGAATTTTGTTGATTTGATCCGACGTTTATGTTTGTGTGACATTTCTGTCCCGTCTTCAGGCTGTGAATGCTTCATCGCCAAAATGGAATTAATATGTGTAATGTTACAACAGTAACTTGTGCGGCCGATTTTAGTACGTACAGTTATTTTGCTTTTCCCGATTAGTTGTTTTGTAATCTGAGCAAATCCCTACACACGTCCCTCAGCTACGTACATAAACTACCAATACAAAGTAACATTTCTATGGCTAGGCACCAAAGTAGTGGTGCGCACCGTTCTCGTGCTCTTAGACTCCTAATCGTTCAAGTTCTGACTTGTACCTAGGGTTTTTCATGTGACAGTCTTGCTCGGTTAAATTCTTTCGTTCTTTTAAACTTAAGATAAGTTTATTTTCAGGAAACGGAGCATCAGAAACTGTCGGGAAGACAGCGTGATACATCCTCCATCACTGGTGGCCGTTCGCGACCTGGTAGAGGACGACCTGGAACCAGTGGACGGCAACCGCCAACTACTTCGGCTGATGACTTTCATGCCACGACCACGACATCTTGTTCGCAATCTGATGGAGCCGCGTCTGGAAAGGCGCAGTCCAACTTTGGAGAGAAGGTTCTCGATCCCTCGTTATCTGCCGTTTCCTCTATGGAGACAGATGGGGATGTGCTCCGTAAGTTTGGGTACTCGGTTTTCTCTGATCGACTCAAGGTGGTCTTCTTACATCTATCTTGCGCCAGAGTCGGTAATTAACTGGTTGGCATCTTCTCTTGGCTGTGCATTTCAGGTGAAGCTGACGATGGAGTACAGCATGCTATTGCGACCGCAGCGCAAACAAACACAAGTGAAAGTGTTCCGTCGGACGCCATGCTAGGCACTGAACAGCAACCTGTCAAGGTTTGTCGTTTGTCTCTGCCTTATCCATTCCTTCGTACTAACTAATTATTAAGTGTTCTGACTGAAGCATCCATTCACCGGCCTCACCATCTCGAATTCGCTTGTAGGCACAGCTTCCATCGGACACTGTGGATACAATCACAAGTGGAGCACGCAGTGCATCGCCGACATCGGCCCACTCAGGGCCTTCGCGTGGAAGTCTCACCACCACCCCAATCCCATCTTCCTTATCATCTACTACCGATCAGGGAGGAATGACTTGCATCAAAGATCTCATCCATTTTGCGATAGAGAAAAATTTGACACAAGTAAGCCTCTGTCTTTGTGGTATGACCATTAAGTTTCATCTCACCACTGGTTGTGTAAACGGTCTTGCGTAGGCCAGTCTTCCTCTGAATTTTATCTTCACTCATTCAATGTAGTCGATGGTGTTTGGCCCAGATAGATGTTATAACGCTTTGATCGGACGGGAACCCTTGTCCACAAGAGTGAGCTTTGACTTTTCTGTATCTCCTTCGTAAACATCCAGCACTTCCGTCTTTTGTGTAGACGAACTTGACTTAGCCTTGACTCGCTGACGATTCGCGACATACTTTGGTGATAAAACATTTGACAAGGGGCTACTCAACCAGATTTTCACTTGAGTTATTTTGATACCTATCAGCATGCAATTTGCTAAGTGCTAACGTGTCCTTTCGATCTGGTCTTTGGAAACTTCAAGCATAAAATCATGTATTCTAGCTTTGTAGGTAGTCTTGTGTGATGTGTACCGATGAAATACAGCGAGTCGATGGTGTAATGTAACACCACAGGAGGTAAAGCAAGCAACGCGTTCTGTGACTTGAGTAGTGGTAGATGATCTTTTGGCCCAGTCAGTGATGAACGGATCTCGAAAAGTGAAACCAACGGAATCCTCCAACCTCGTTAAATCTCAGGAGTGCGTGGATGGGTTGGTTACCTGAAGCCTTGGTCAACCTCCTCAGACCTGTCGTCCACCAAACTACGTGCCCATCACCCGGACTACAAGTAAACTAACTCGATTTTGAGTTCATTTCACCTAAAACTGCTCACCAACGGATCACCGACTCTTCTACGCTTATCCAGTGGATCACAGTTGGGACCGAAGTCCTCGTATGGACAAACTTCCCGAGGTCTGATGACATAGTTTTGGTGATCGCCCGTTAATTTCAAGGCACATATCGAGGTGATTATCGCGCCGTTTATGATAATAGATGACCATCTAGAGAAAACAACCTTCTGTTCAGCGTTTCTGCATTAGTTTGTTGTATTCAACGGTTGTTCTAGAACGAGTACCTCATTTGTAGAAAGGATACGTATCTCTCCCTTGTTAGTGTAACAGTAATGTGACCATAGTGTCATCAATCAATAGCAGTTCGAGGCCGTATGGAGGACCCGTTTAGGCTAGCGCCTAACGGAAATTCTACCAAATAGCAACAATGTACTAACTTTCAAATGGCCGTCGTTTTCGCGGACAAACTGCACAGAGCACTGTCAGAGTGATCCCTTAGTGCAACAGTGTCACTTATGGATCATCTTGTTGCCATCTATTTTATCTGCATCTTGTGTCACTTTTTCCCTGGATATATATATATATATATATATATAATGAAGGATTAGTTGACATCCAAATCTGTGTGTCGCTCAACACTTGTCAGACTACTAAACCCTGGGTATATTTGGAGAATCACAGGCGATTTTTGTCAGGCCGAATGTGGCGCTTCATACAATCCATCGGTGCCGATGTCGACGAGGAAATAACACCAATGGACAAACGTACAAAAGCTTTTTGCTATTTGTCAAAAAGCTTAGCAATGACCACCGACATCAGTTGTTTGGTTATCATCGAGGCATTGGCGCCATCTGTCAATAACGTGGGTTCAGTGTAATGGCGCGCCTTCCCCATCAGAGAACTATCTAAATGCTACCCTTCCCCCACCAATGCACCACCAAGGTGATATTAGACAACCTGGTACCACCAGGTGGTGATGTTGTCCTTAGTACGATGATGTTGGACGGGCGCCAATTACAAAATGGGACGGTTACCTTAGTTCCACTTGTTCAAATTTAGTAGATACACTCGTCGGCACGTTAGCAGTCCACAGGACCGATCCTACCAATGCTCATCTGCTTGCGGCGCAAGTCCACGTGTTCGGGGCATGACCACAATAAATGAACCACTTCCTATACGTGTTGTGCCTCCATTTCTCGCAGTGGACAGTTATTCTTCAGACCATCCTTTCTGCTGCTAGGTTTCCTCATTGTCTAAGATGTAAACTAGAGGTTTCCAAACTTGCCTGGAAACTGTTCCAATATCGAATTTTCGGGTGCACCCGATTCCGAACTCCATTCCAAAGCTGGCAAGTTGTTTTAGGATGCGAATTTCGGCTGTTCGTTTCAAGTGTTATTGTTTCTTATTAGACAACATTCGACTCCAAAAGTGTTTCCTCTTTGTTGAGCTTCGGTTTTCTGTCTGTGCGTTTGATCCAAAGGATTTTATGCAAACATTGGAAGTGAACTCGGTGGACAATACAAACATATCGCCTGTGTAGTGTCCATGTTTCGCCACTTGACAGTAGAGAAGCAGCACAACTCTGCAGTATAGCGGAGTCTTGATATCTTCGCTCCAGACGTGTTTATCAAGGCGACCAAATGCTGTTCTGCACTTTGCAGTTCATGATTCCGTTTCCTCACCAGCCATCAGGCGCCGTCCGTTGATGGCTTGACATCGCCGTCTAGCCATCTCCCCCAGATAGGTAAACAATGGTCGCTCACTCCTGTTGAAACTTTAGTCCTCAACCTTCATGAGAGCACCTTCACCAGATGGTTACGAGAGTATCAGCCCCTTTGAAGTACGCAGGAGCCAAGCCAAGTCAATTAAGCCGGAACACCCACTCCGAGCTTTAAGACCTTGTGTTCCGCAAATTTCAGATTCATTTTTCTTATAAAATCAATTTACTATCAAGGTGGTTTTTTTGGAACCAGAGACAGGTTCGTTACGCCTGGATTGTTTTAAATCGTATGATGTGCTGTCTCAGTATGCATAACATTTGCTTGTCATTTTACATTGTTAGCACTGATTGGGGGCGGACATCGTAGGTCATAGTCCACACCACGCCATTTTAATTTCGTTAATTAGCTTCATACTGTGGTGATGGTCTTATCTACTTCGTTGACACACGAAATTGACGGCTCTATAGAGGTGCTCTGTAAGGGCCTTTTCCGGAGATTTTCTGTAGTTCCTGAGGAGAACAGTTGATCCAAATTGTCCTCAATCTTTACCAACGAGCTTCTTGAACTTTAGCTGTTTTGTATTGGAACCGGTGGTTGTATTAGACAGTATTACTCTGTTTGAAGGTATGTTTACGTGGCGCAGATTCTGACAGACATACACTTAAGTAACTATGCTCTTCTTGTGTCTTAAAAGTGTACCCTCCGTGTCGAAGACGTTAGCTTCATGTGACCTTACGGAAGGACGTGAAAGCGACCACAGAATTAGTGACGCTACCTTTCAGTGTACGGTTCACTTGCCTGTTACACGCCAATCACTCATTACATCGCTGATCGTTTCCATTCAGTGTACTCGTCGTTTCCTTGATCATGCACGTTTGTTTTTTAGCCCTGGACTGACAGGAATGTGCACCTTCCGTCTGATTCTGACAGAAACACTGGTTTAGCCCTTCCGTCACCCAACACTCCCGTTTGCTCTTCAGGCAAGTAATCACGTTCGTTTCTTGTAGTTGTAGTATCATCTGTGTCCACGCTTCAGATGGATGTATGGTAAACATCCGAGTGGTCTACGGATTTACAGCACCCCTTTCTCGTAGAGGCTCTCTTATGTGGGGACCGTATACCGGCACCTTTCGTGACGCTTCATGGATTTCAAAGACCACTCTTCTAGCCATTTCCGCTACCGAATTTTTCACATAGTTCTGACGGCATTCTCTCTGCACAAGATCTATCTTTTACTAATTGAGCTATTGTGTTCAGTAACCGCATCAATAGCCGTTCCTCCTACCCTCTCCCAACCCATTGGAAGGTGTTGTTATTAAGTGGAGAAAAATCTGAATAGGGATTGTTACTTTTCGAGACCGTTAGGGATGTGAAGGATAATGGATCTCAATGCGATTACAACAGATCCACTGATTTCGAAGATATCAAAGAGCTTTTATTTCTTTCCATTCATGGTCGATCAATGTTTTAAGACTATTCCTTCAGTTCTGTCGCTGACACTGGACCGTTTCATTGAACTTCGTTCTTTTAACATTTCCTTATCTTTGGGGATGGATGCGAATTCGTACTGAATAGGTTTTTCCTGATATCTACATTTCTGCTGTCGTTTTTTCACTCGAAAATCATTTTTTATGGAAAATCAACTGATGTGGATGAATTTCTATGAAATACGCTATAAAGGACCACCATACTACTCGTATACCGTCTATATCTGACACCACTTGATGTCCAGCCCACTCCCGGTTCCATAGGCTGTTAGCAGCAGGTACGGTTTAACGTGTGCTCGAGGATGGTAAAAGTGTCAGTGCAGGATTCGCTCTACCGTTTTTGGTCCCTTCATAGTAATTCGTGAAAAAAACATACTTCAGAACAATCTGCCAAAAAACAGCTAAGTGTTTGCAGTAAGAACGTTCAGCGACCCACAGCTGTCTTGATCGCTAGAACGTGGTGTTTTCTTTGTAGGAATGATTGCACGGCCGGTTACGAACCCGAGGACTGAATTTTGTTCTGCTGATGAGGTTGACACTCTAGTCCACCACCGACCGCCCGTCGATGGGACGTCAGAACTTCCCAAACCCGGAGACCGTTTGTCCCACAAGTTATCCGATTCTGTGAATGAACAAATTAATCATCATTTTCCGTCCGCCCCAACAGCCGATATTTATGCAGTGGCTGCTCAAATTGCAGCAGCAACCGGAAACTCCTCGGAATTGGTAAGTGATCTGCAATTCCTTTGTCTTTTTCTGAACTGTGAACCGTTTGAACTATGACAATGAACCATGTGGAACCGTTTTTCGTCCAACCCACCGTCGATGTATTGTTTCTCTCATTTTGCCTACTCATTAGTAGTCTGAAACGAATTGGATATCGATATCGAGTTCGATGTCACGGTGACCATGGTTATATTCTACGGGTACCTAAGAAACAGCATGACAGAAAAATTGCATCCACACAGTCAGCCGAATTAATGATAACAATGAGGGAAATAATAATTTTCAACTAAGGATATTTCTTCCGATTAGTGGTACTGGTTGTTCCAAGTGCAAAGCCTTTCATGAAGAAGCTGACCGACCGAACAGCCTGGTGTTTGTAGCAAGATGGAGGCGGCAATCATCTGACGTACAACGTCGCCATGCTTATAAAAATTCATAAAACGAGAAAACTGTTTCATGTGCTCTATTTTAAGACTGGAAACGACCGGAAAAGACGACCCTGTTAGTCCGTATGATTGGCAAATTCTTGGGTGTATTATGGTACGCAAACACAGCACGCCAATCATGACCCCTTTTTGCTAGGAATGGTCTTTGTAATTCCTAAGATTTTCAACATCAGATAGGGATATCTCAAACTTTCGAAATTGGTGCACAAGCAACCCACATGACCTCAGGAATGGAAGGATACCGCTGCCTTAAAAGAGTTGGTCTTCAGCAGCTTGTCTTCATTAACGAGACAATCCAAAGTGAATGGAAGTGATAACACCAGCTGGATAATCATCTGGGTCCAAGTAGCGTAGTTTCTCACGACTCTGGATGAAAATATAACCCATCCCCATCTTTAATTGAATCAATTTCATTTATGTTTTCCGCTGTTCAGCATATCGCAATGCTACATCCATAGTATAACGAGGAAATCCTGCGTGTAGGTGTTGACAGATTAACAGAATGCTTTACGTCCACTTATTGCCTTCTGAAAATTTCAGGCTAACGCTATGTACGTTGCCGCTGCTGCTGCCGCCGCAGCAACTGTAGCTGTTACAGGCAGCGCCGGTAGTGCTACTAATCCCGCTACTGATCGGTCAATGCAGCGTGGAAGTCCATTACTAACGCAGTTCCTGCGTTCGTCATCTCCCGATAATATGTCTCACTCTGGAAACAAGCTACTATTGTCCGCAAATTTGGACTGTCGACAAACCAACCGATCCTCCCAGCGTGCCCCTTCCCCGGTGAATTGGACTGGTCCTTCTTCTCCCACGACTTCAGAACGTAATCCATCTAGCAAAGCTATCCTGATCGGAGACTTTCTGACGGCACAGCAATTGGGAACGGAGGATCCGAGTGTAACGGTTTCTACGTCTGTTCATTTGGGTGAGTATATATATATATATATATATATATATGTATATAACATAAACAGTAATCCGGGT